ACAATAGAAATTATTTTAATAATGGTTGAAGAAAAGAAAAAATGACTTGGATGCCATATTAGAACTAAAACAATTTGATAATTTCATTAAAAAACTGCTTTATATACTGTAGAATTAAACAATGGCTTCATCTTACCAAGTATAAAAGGTAACCACTTTTAATGTGAGTCTGCTTCCAAGACATTAAGCCATAAAATTTTATTTCAGGGAAAATAATACAACACTTTAAAGCATTTCCTAGATTTCCCTACCTTCTAATGACATTTTAACACCTTCTTCTGGATGGGTCCATATGATTTCAAGAGCATTTTGACTCAAGGTCTTAGAAGCACAAAATTTAGGAAATTCTAAAAACAAAACAAAACAGGAAGATGCACAGAACATGTATGTAATTCAGAAAGAACAAACAATGGAAGGTGGCTAACCCTTTAACGATTTTGAATTTCTGACCCTTATTTTGTCACACTGGTATCTGTATTAAAAATAAGGAATGTTGGGTTTCTTCATATATGATAATTCACAAAACTGATCTCTTTTGGTCCAGAACTACTTAAAAGTATTCTAAGGCCAAAATACGAAAACTCTAGAAGCCATTATTAAATTTTAGAGATACTACATGAGGAAACTTCAACACGGCTTTTCAGGTATGAATTTATGAGAGTCAAAAAATTCTTCACAGTAATAAGATTTGGTGTTTAGAAGGCAACAAAGGCAATAAAATTAGCTATCAAAGGGATAGGATAGCTGTGAAACTATTTAAAAATACACAAAATGAAAGACCTAAAAAATCATCTAAAATAAACCAAAATGTGCTGGAGAAAAATAGGATTATACAAGAACCTAGAATTGGATGAGAGAATAAATGGGTCAAGATGCACCAGAAAGATCATTTCCATTTATAGTTTATACACTATAAAAATAAAACATACTGAATTTCCCTTATCTCTGTACAGGATGGGTCATTTTTAGGTAACTATATACTTCCTTAATAATCATCCTATAACTTAGGACAGTAAAAGATTCCAAAGCAAAGATTATACTATTAATTTTTGTTATGGTTATGGATTTTGACCTGCTTGACAGACTGAATAAAATGCTCATCATTCAATTAGCTTTTTTGATTTGAAAGTTCCGAGTCCTTTAATAATGTGTTTTAATAGATGTGCTTTTTCTTTTAATACTTACTCTAACAATATGCTAGAGGTAGCCTTAGGGATCTGGAAGATGAAAGAGCCATTACCACCTAACAGGTACTGACCACTGTGCCACAGAGGTTAAGTTTTCTTCTTCTAGGCAGCTTCAGTTTAACGTTCTAAGAATTCCAGGTGCCTTTTTATTTAAAGTGTGAAGCAAATACCCTTGAATTCAGCAAGAAAAAAACTTAGACATCTGGCTGTAGTATAAACCCAAAGCTGGTTTTTTTTTAGGAAACACAGGAGTATATGGAAGAACATAAATTTTATTAGTACATTTAAAATTAGATGAGGAAGCAAAATAGCTGAAGTTTTTTGTTTTGGTTAAGAGTTTTGGTCTTTGCATTAATTTCTGTTACTTTTTTATTGAAAGAAAAGATTATGTGCTCCCTGGGAACTTTTAAAATGGTAAGACCTTAACAAAAAAGGAAATTTCAAACCTGCTTTTCTTTTTTGATCATCAAAATTCTGTCTTCTGAAATTGATGGCTTTAAAAGATTAGTTTGCTAAATGGTAGTTATGAAAGATTGTAGAGTAAGAGCATAATATTAGAATCACACTTTAAGCACACTACCAATGACATTTGAAGTCATCAGTGGCTAACTTTAATCAGTGCCATCAGATTTTAAATATTGATACAATCAGTAATGCTTATCATTAATTTTATAGAATCAGATATCACAGGCCAAATTCTACTTAAAACTTCCTAAGTCTAATCACAAAATAACATTTAATTTAGAATTGAAGTTTTCTGGTTGTAAAATTCTAAAAGGTGAGAAAGGTTAAGTTATATTTGTCTTGTCATTTAAGAACCACTTCTATGATATTTAAGATCAATGCCAAGGTTTCAACTGTTAACTACCAAATATCACCTGTTAAAAACAAAACAAAATCCTAATGAGAATGTTTATAGGCTTATTACAACTCAAATTCATGAATACAGAGGAATGGTTCTATTTTGGCTCAAACTGAAGTCAGCTAATTTGATCACTGTATTTGAATGCTCATTGTCTTTAAGTATTGATAATTTTTCAAAACAGTTCAAGATGTCCTAATTTGGATAAAATGTTTTCATACTTATTATATAAAAATTGAGCCCCAAGTTCATTAATATAGCTATCTAGGAAGTAATCATAAATATACTGAAAATTGGCCAAGAAACTCTAAGAAATCTTTATTTCTTCTTAGGAAAAATCTAATTAGTTACACTCTTTTAAACTGAGATTATTATCTGTTTATTCCAAAAGCCCAGTTCTTTGGTGTACTGTTTCTAGTTGTTTTAAACTTAAGAATTCTGTATACTGCTAAAGGAATTAAAGCATCACAAACTTTGTGTTAAATAACTTTGTTATTTAAGCAATCTTTGTTTTTATAATCACAGTATGATTGGCCATCAGGAGGTGGATTTGGAAACCAAGTGATTTATACTTTTTCATAGAGTAAAAGTGTATTTTAATCATCCTATTTTTCTACATACTTAGTTCATATTTGATTATAGGAAAACATTCTAATTTTCTATGTCTTTTCTAAAATAACTTCTAAAATAGTGGCTTTTTATTTTGAAAAAAAATTTTTTTGTCTAGTACTGCATATATTTCCATGCAGATTAAACTGAGCCATACCTTCTACCCCAAACTGTTAAGGAGAACATATTTTTCTTTATATTCAGTAAACAACTACATCATAAGGTTAAACAGCTTTTGAAAATATCATTTAAGTTGGATGAGTAGGAAAGCATACATCTTATCTTTGGATGTATTTAACTTATCAAGTGAAGTGTTCTATAAATGTAAGAAATAGAATGCTATAGATCTAAAACACAGAACTACATAAACCGATTTAAGAAGGAAGGGAAGATGTCAGATATATTAGTTCAGATGCAGAAAGGGTTATTTACACATTTGTTCACAAGTTTTGGAGTTACATAGCTCCTAACGAAGTGGGTGGAGATTTTCTTGTTAACTCAAGAAAAAGCTACGAACTCCCTAATGTGTGCTGTTGAAATACTCCTTCATAACTTTGATGCTCTTCCTGAAATGAACCTATATATTCAACCTATAAATGAAAACCAACTGATGCTTTAAAAAGAAAGTATTTAATTACTAGTGGATATAATTAGTTCACTTTAAGAGTATTAAGACAAGGAGAAGTTTGAAGACTAGAAGACATTAAAAATATATTGGGTCTATATGATTTTTTTAATGCAAAAAAGGGACATCTCCCTCAAAAAGGATGAATAAAAATCCCTGCAAAATGCACTGCTCCATATGCTCCCCTTTCAGTGCAGACTACATTGTAGAAACAAAATCTCTCTTAAGAGAACTATTTGTGAGAAATAATGACTATCCCTAAAGATATTAAACTCTCAATTTTTACTATGTAAGAAAGTCATTATTAATTCATCTTAATATAAAGGTTTTAGCTTTGGGAAAAAGTGAGCCTTTCAAAATTTTAACTTAGGTTATTAATCTAGTTGATTGGCATGAAACACAAGTGCCATGCATGGTCTATGCCTCTCGTAGGTCTGAAAAGTCATTTCAGACTGTTCCCATACTTAAATGGTTTCAAGCCTCTGGACAGAACTGAACAACGTGAACAAGTCTGGTGATGAAGCACTGATTAAGTCTTAAAATATCATAATTTCACAGTCCCTTGTCCCATATAATATATATAAGAAGCACCAAAACTGGAGCCAAGATCTGAACAGGTAATGTAACAGCAGGAACTATAATTTAATCACATCATATCATATTACACTTATGTAACATTCTATGCCTGTTGATATGTGTAACATAGTTAAGTTTATTACAAGCATTATTTCCTAAGACTTACGGTATAAGTACTTCTTTTCAAGTATTACCGCTTATTTAAGTGTTTATTTCTTAACATTATGTAAATCAGTGATAAATGTATATAATGCAGTACATTGTGCCATTTCTCCCAACCCTGTGTTCAGATATTAAAGTCAATTAAGAAAAACAAAACAACTATTAAAACTGAAACAAGGCTATCAACATCACACATGAACATCTGAGTCGGTCAATAGCATTTGCCCCTTAACATGAAGGTATTTTCATCATAAATGCCTCATCTTTAGGCTAGTATTATGTTAGCAGCAGCTGGTCTTCAGGACAAATAGATCAGAAGTTTCAAGTGAAAATGACACTGAATTACTCTTGAGGAAACATCAATCCACATTACTAATAAAAGATGCAAACTGCTGGTGTCACCTTAACATAAAAATTGTGTGTTTTCCCTTTCAACATGTGATTTAGTTCATTTATGTGATGACAACACTTTGGAGTTCTCATGGCACACCAATAAGATTATCTGTTTTAATATTTAAATTTTAACTACAATAACTAGAAAAAAGTCAGTGCCTCGGTGGCTTTAAACCACATCAATTTCAATGTTTTTCAAAATGATGATGCAATTAAATCTATGCTTCTGCAATAGTGCAAAACAGTATCCTCTCCTAAATACAGGAGCTGAGGTTTATCCAAGTAGAAGCTTTAAATAAGGTAGATTGTTGCCAACTATATATCAGTCTCGCATATTTGATATAACATATATTAGGAAAGCTTAAACTGACTTATAAATCTATTCTCAGCTAAAGCTTCACATAAGCAGCAATGGAAATGAACAGAAGTGCACTCAATATAAAACACTTTTCAAAACTACTCCAAAAAACAAATGACAAAACGTGGTTAAGAACTGAACGTATGTTGTGTGTACCACATGTAAAAGGAAGAATGGACCTTGGTGATTGCTTGCACTGTCTGAATTATGTGAAGGTAAAATTAAGACTTAGTCCACTTCCATCTCTCCAGAAGATTTAGGATGCTGGGAGCTGTCTTTTGTCATATCTGGTTTAGTTTCAGTCCCACTCTGTCCATCCGTTGGTCCATTGTGTTCACTGTTAGCTTTTGTTTTGTCTTCAGCAACCTCTACTTTTGGTTTGGGCTTGTAAATGATGGGGTTACAAAAATTATCCAGTTCCTAAAGACATAAAGAGAAGTGATTATATTAAAATTACTACAGAGAAAGTTACTATTAACGTTCTAAATTCCACATTAATGTGACATTCCTGAATTTATGTTAGCTCAGATAACCAAGTTTCTTCAAATATGTCAATGAAGCATTTACTTCTGGGTTAGTGCATGTTAGTGCTGACAGAGAACTCTTCAATCTTTAATAATAATACTCTTTGTATATAATCTCCCTAAAAACTGATTCTTCATAATTTAAATATAGTTTACTTAGGAAGAAATAATTTTTAATTTATTCCTTTAAATTATGCCTGATGCTCTGAGAATTCTGTCAAATAACACCTATTTCATAAACTGATATTTACACAAAAACAGCTTTAATAAGTGGAATTATAGGACTATGTTGAAGGAAAATAAGTCATGAATGTAAATGCAACTTAACAATTTAAAATAAATACAATGTATTTTCTCTGCCCTTATTTCTTTTTAACACAGAAATAAAAGACCATTAAAATCTTTCAAGACCAGAGTCACAGAGATTGGGAGAGGGAAGGAAAGACAGGGACTAACATCTTGGGGGAATGTTTTGTTTTGTAAACGTTTATTTATTATTGAGAGACAGAGAGAGACAGAGCATGAGCATGGGAGGAGCAGAGAGAGGGGGAGATACAGAATCCGAAGCAGGCTCCAGGCTCTGAGCTGTCAGCACAGAGCCCAACGTGGGGCCCAAACTCACAAACTGTGAGATCATGACATGAGCCCAAGTTGGACGCTTAACTGACTGAGCCATCCAGGCACCCCACTGGGGGAATGTTGTAGTGGCAAACTGCTCTTATCACACTCTATATTTCATCTGATTAGGAGTAAATTATTATAGCTTTGTTGCAAAACTTTCTCAAAAGGAAAACACTTAGATTTGAATAAAAAAAAAACAAACCTGAAAACACACTGAATAAAAAAAAAAATCAACCAGAATTTCATCTTCTACAGAGTAACATTAACATTTTGGGGAGCATCCTTCTAGATACATGTCCACGCACACACATATATACAAACCTACAAATCTATGAACGTGCTAATTTATATAGCGAGGTAACTTTTCACTCAGTACGTTGTACTCATCTTTATATCTAAATATAAAATCTTTATATCTAAATCTTTATATCTAAAAGATATACGTTGTACTCATCTTCATATCTAAAATCATGTAATGGTTGCAAAGTGTTGTACAGATGCTTCCATTTATCTAGTTTCTTACAGGTATTTGTGTCTTTCAACTTTTTGCTAATTTACCAGGAAGGTTATCTTCCTATACTTGTGTAATGATCGATTTAGGATGAATTCCTAGAATTATGATTTCTGGGTTAAAGGTACGTATACTTCCTTTAAATTTCTACACATATACTGATACAAAAAGAATGAAACAAATTCAACCAAGCTGCTCAGGGAAAACATCCGTTTTTTCACACCCTTGACAACTTGTGACAAAGATTATGAATGTAAACAAAGAACCATGACCAGTGAAAAGAAAAGATGGGTAAAGGAGAGTTAGTAGGATGAGTTATGTTTTCTTTTGTCAATTGCTTCTCTGACGTCTTTACTCATTTTTCTATTTAAATGCTAGTTTTATTGTAAAGTTCATCTCAATATTTTTCACGGTGTTTTCTATGATAATCTTCGATATTTTCACTAGTAATGTTTTTTAGGCTGAAAAGTTTATCTCAGAAATAAGATTTTACCATAGAATTTTACAGATTTCAAATGATGTCAAAAACCTACACTGCAAAGTTTTATAATGGAGATTTAGAAGTCTCATGCAGTCTAGAAAAGTCTGACATATATAACAGTAAGAAGTTGTCACATTGCTTTATTTCACTGTGTAGTAAACTTAAAATTTAAAAACACAGCCTCATGTGACTAAATCAAGGAACAGAGATGTCCCACCTAGAAATCTTTTTTTTTTTTTTTTTTTGCAAAATTAAAATTTAGCCTTAAATTTGTTTTTCTAAGTTCTTTTGCAAGCTGATTATTGCTTAAAGTATGGCTCCCAATAAAAGCGTTTAATGGCTTGGGGTGCCTGAGTGGCTCAGTCGGTTGAGCGTCTGACTCTTGATTTTGGCTCAGGTCATCATCCCAGGGATGTGGGATCGAGGCCCACACTGGGCTCTGTGCTAAGTGTGGAACCCGCTTAAGATTGTTTCTCTTTCTCTCTCCTTCTGCCCCTCTCCCCTGCTTGTGGGTGCTCTCTAAAATAAGAAAAAAAATGTTTAATGGCTTGAACCCATTAAAAAGAAAGTTTCATAGTTACTTACCTTTGACTTTGCAACTATTTCAGAGACTTTCACCACAGGATCTTGAGTGAGACTTAGTTTGTTCTGTGCATTCATCTTACTGTTCAGCCAATTCATGGCTTCACTGATATATTTTTCAACTTTTTCCACTTCAGCTGGATCTAAATGATCATATCTTTCATCCTATTAAAAAAAAGCCTTTTACTTAATAGAAAATATTTCCATAAGCAACAATAATTTCCGCTTAAAAGATTTAGACTCTTATTGAACGTATACCTCCCACATACCCATGTGAAGAAGCCACATACAAATTACACAAAACTGAAGAGACTGGGAGAAAGAAAAAAATCAATGTGGGTTTTTAAAAGGAAAGTCTTTCTGAAGAAGTCAGGTTTTTTTCAAAAAATGACTAGTGCAGAATATTCAAGGGAAAAGTACTTAAGAAAGAAGCTGCATGGAATTCAGTTGTTATGGAATAAAGAGAAGTAGGGGAATAAAGGCATAGTGCAAGCTAGACAGAAAATTCTCAGTATATAACAGAACAGCAGTTCTTGATAAAGAGAAGTACATAATAAAATTTTGTCTGAAAAACACAACTACAGCTACCACATACAGAAAGTAATCTAAGAAGTCAGGGTTTAGGATGGTAATCACGAGAAAGAAATGGCAATGCAACAGAAAGAGGATCTCCTGATGGATTATAGATGGGACATAGAAAATAAAGAGAAAGGGAATTAAAGAGTACTCCAAAGCCAAAGACCTGGGAGAATGGTGATGTTGTGTTTTACAACTATAAAGCTTCATCACGTATTCTTCTTCTGCTTGTAGAAGACCCAATTTCTGGGTCCCCACATTTTTCTGAATTCCCTTCTACTTCATGGATCACATCTTATGTTCCTTCCCATTCATCCCTTCACATGCATGTTTTAAAAAGATATCTAGCCTGAGCCTCTTCCCTGAATTCCCAACTCTATATCCAACTTCCAACCTGAATTTCCATTTATAAAGAATGAAACGACCACCTGTGTTTCAAAATCCTGATTACACCCCCACCTACTACTCCCAGTTTTCCCCATCTCAGTAAATGGCAACTTCATCCTTCCAGGCCATATCCTTGGAGTCATTTTTGACTCCTCTGTCACATTTACATAAAATCTATCACCAAATCTTACAATGTGCAAACATCTGACTACTACTTTCCCCCTTCAATATGCAAGATTCAAGCCTCTATCATTCCTTGTGTTATTCTAATAATGTCTAAATGAGTGTTTCTACATCCTTTAAAAAATGAATCATATCATGTTACTTGTATGTTCAAAAACCTCCAATGGGGGGCACCTGGGTGGCTTAGTTGGTTGAATGTTCAAATTTGGCTCAGGTCATGATCTGATGGTTCATGAATTTGAAGGCTCTGCATCAGGCTCTCTGCTGTCAGCACAGAGCCCGCTTTGGATCCTCTGTACCCTTTTCTCTTTGCCCCTCCCTTCTTCATGCTTTCTCTTTCAAAAATGAATAAACGTTACAAAAAAAAAAAAAAAAAAAAAAAAAAAAAAACCTCCAATCAATGGTTTCATATCTCAAAGCCAAACTTTTAGGATAGCCTACTAGGCACTAGGTTCTAATCCCTAGGTTCTAATCCCATTCCCATTGTTTTAAGCCACACTGGCCTCTTTGCTGTTCCTTCAACACATTTTCCCCTTGAGGTTTTGTAACTTGCTCTCCCTTTTTCTACAACTTTTCCCTTACAGTTATCTTACACCTTGAGCCCTCCCTTCCTTCAGTTCTCTCCTAACAGTGTATCATCTTATTAGTCTGCCCTTCTCCCAAATCTCCTCCACCTTTGGTGGTTCCTTACTTTTTCAATAGTCCTTTATCCCTATCTACTTAAAAAAATTTTTTTATTCATTTTTGAGAGAGAGTGTGAGCAGAGAGAGACAGAGAGAGAGAGAGAGACTCACACAGAATTTAAAGTACACTCCAGGCCGTCAGCTGTCAGCACTGAGCCTGATGCGGGCTCAAACTCACAGACTGCAAGATCATAACCTGAGCTGAAGTCGGACATTTAACTGACTGAGCCATCCAGGTGCCCCCGTATCTGACTCCTTTGAAGTAACTTATTTACTGTTCACCTTTCCCTATCAAAGCATATTAGAAACAGGTTCAGTGTTTTGTTTGATGCTTGTAGTTCCAGCATCTTGAACTGAAGACAGCACATAAGAAAAATTCAAAATCCCTGAATGTCGGTGAAGTCTCGTCTTGCTTTGGTATCTTAAACCTGCATACTCAAGACTGCTAAAGCCTGGGGAACATGGGGCCATGTATTGTTATGTGGATGTCCAATGCCATATTTGAAATATTCTTGGTGTTTTTATTTGTCTGCTTCCGTCTTACCTTTCCATTATCCTTCTATTCTTTGTACGTGTATGGACATTTTGGACACTGACAGCGGTGGACACATTCGCAATCAGTGCCTGGATTCTTCTTTCTGGTTGGCTGGATTGTAATCTTATGTTACAAAATTTACAAATCTATTTTGTAAAGCAAGCAACCTCTTTTTACACGTTGTGTAGTACAAAGTAGCATAGGTGATAGGAGTTTGTATGTTAACTTCAGACTGTTCAAGTTTTAATCCTAAATGCATCATTTACTACCAGTGTAATCCTTGACAAATTGCTTAAGCACTGCAGTCTTCTTATGATATATCCTTGTGAGATTAAGATAATCCATGAAAAGTGTTTAAAATTCACTGTTTGGTAAACATAAGTTATTAAGATTACCTGCCTGAATCTGGTGCTACCCTCTCCTGTTTACTGATGCAGTTTTAACTCCCATGATAAAAACTGGGGAAATTATAGTGAATATTTATTCAAAGTAAGGGCGAGCAAACTTGTCCTGCAGGCCAAAACTAACCTGTTACTTGCCGTTTTTTTTCCCCTGGGTTTTTAAATAAAGTTATTTTGAAACACAGCCATAACCATTCATTTACGTACTGTATATGGATGCTTTTGCACTTCAATGGCAGATCTGAACTGTTAGCCTGTAAAACCTAATATATTCACTATTTGTTCATTTAAAATAAATCCTGCTAACCTCGAGTTTAGAGGAAAAAATGGTAAGCCTAATTTTGTCATATCTTACTATTATATAAATGATATTTCCTTTTGGATGTAACTAAATATTTGAAGCTTAAAAACAGTCGGCAGGTTAAGGGTATATAGATTTGGGTGTGCATCTAAAAGAATAAAGGGTACAGGAGATCACAAATGTCTCACAGACTGGAAGACAGAGAGCAACCAAAAGCAAAAGAACAAAATAAAGTCTAGCACTGTCCAGTCTGCAAGAGGCCTATAATAAAAAAAGTTCCAAGAAAAATTCTCTTTCACTGTATCAATAATGAAATCTCTAAGAAGAAAATGATAGATTTAGTCACTGGATTGAAGTGTGGGTTTTAGGTAATTTAAAGAGATTAAAGCAGCATAACTGCACTGTATTTTAAATATATTAGTACCCTTTACAGTAATTTTCTAATAAAAAGATAGGGGTGCCTGGGTAGCTCAGTTGGTTGAGCATCTGACTCTTGGTTTCGGCTCAGGTCATGATCTCTTGGTTCATGGGATTGAGCCCCACACAGGGCTCTGCACTGACAGTGTGGAGCCTGCTTGGGATTTCCTCTCCCTCTCTCCCCACTCTCTCTCTCTCAAAATAAACAAATGTTAAAAAAAATAGTAAGTTTAGAGTACAGGGTCTCCGGAATTTGGCAGTAACGACTGCTACAGCTTCGTGGCTGAGAACTTATTACCCCATCCTACCATGTACTATAAAACACATGCCATCAGCAGCAGCTTGCCCTGTGACTTTAATACCTTGTTTCTGTATGCTTCTATCACTTTCATGACAAGTTGAATCTTTTTTCCCAAGTCGTTTAAAGCTTTTGGTCTCTCTTCATGTTCCATGTACCTCATCTGAATAGGCTGGCCATATTTCTATTAAGAAAAATTTTTGAAAGAAAAATTATTAACCGAAAATGACTTTTAACAGAAGACAAGTTTTATTGGACCCTTACATGATGATGAATAGGAAAGAAAGCTGGCCAGATCAAAACATGCCTTCTCTATTTCCCTTACATGAAAATAAACTCCAGTGATTATTTCCTTATGCAATCCTACAGGGATGCCTAATGATTTATGTCTTTCATTTATTAAGATTACCACTTCTTGATTCCTGTCAAATCCAAAGGCAACACTTTTAATTCCTTCAAAGTTGTGTTGAAAATTTCCAAACCTATTAGCCATAAAGACATTATCGCATGCAGAATTTATCTGACACAGGTCGCAAATACTTCTATTATAACTCTGTAAGCAACATGATTACTAGTATTTCCAGATATTCAATATTATCTTTTGAATATTATTTATGTTTGTTAATTAGATGGAAATCCTGGATCTGGAAGTATAGCACTTAAAAAAACAAAACCAAAAAACAAACCTTTGGCCCCTTGCCCCAAGTGCCCGGAATGTTAAAACAGCCTCCGGAATTTTGAGGAAGGGGATGCATTAGAAGAATGAATACCTATTTTCTTGTAGATAGTTTATGTACTTAAAAAAAAAAAATCAGCTTATTTTAGAATAATTTTAGATTTTCAGAGAAGTTACAAAGGAAATAATAGAGCATCAAGTACTTCTCACTGCTTTCCTCTAATGTTAACATCTTACATATCTTGTATTACCACAGTATATACAGTTGTCAAAACTAAGAGACCAACACTGGTACATTACCATTAACTGAACTCCAGACTTTAAGTGGATTTCATAATTTTCTGTTCCAGGACAACATATTGCATTTAGTCTATTTACACCATACATTTTACTGTAAATGTTTCTGAAAAAGGACCAAGTACTGCCAACTTTTAAAAGCCACCCCCCCCCCCAAATACTAAGGCCTGTGAAAACTTGTACAACATTCATTTCTATGGTTACTTATATATTTGGGGTGAAATAATCCTTTTTGAGAGCTGCTGGGCTTTTTAGTTATTTCTACTGACTTCAGCTGCCTGGCTGTTCCTACTACCCAAAATACATAACATTCTTTTAGGGAGATGGGGAGTAACACCACCACCAAGCTAAAATGTGATAAAGCCTAGTTTTGCTATAAGATCAGCTTTCCTGGTTGCTAATTATTCTGTTTGAAAGTAGTTTACTGGCATGAAGACAGTTATAACTTTTGCAAGATACTTGCTTTTGCTTTTAAGTAACTTCTCTTATACTCTGCTCACCCAATCCTAAAGGGCTGCCTTTTCCCATATCCTAGGAACCCTATCAATATCATCTATGTATTTCTCTTGCTACTCAGAATGGCTCAGGAACCAGCAGCATCAGAACCTCTTAAAAGCTTGTTAGCAATGCAGTATCATGGGCCCACCACCTCATATGTACCAAATCATAGTCTGCACTTCAATAAAAGCCCATGGCAATTCATGTGAACATTAAAGTACTGCTATGATGCACACTAAGAAGAAAAGACAAATTCCTGTAATCCTTGTAATCTGAATTTAAAAGTATTTTTTTCAGGGTAGGGTAGGCAAGCAGAAAGAAAGGAGTAATAGTGATAGTTTCTTAAAATCATACCATTGACCTAGAAAAAGGAGACATGGTTGCCACATCTCCGTATTTCTTTGTGAAAGAAACTGGAATTTCTTCACTGGCCAGGTGTCCACATCAGTTGCAATGTGAAAATACAAAAGGGCAGCGTATACTCCTCAAAATCACGGCACAGTGAAGGGGGGAGAAGCAGAGAAAGGGTGCATCCTCCAATGGATAAGAAGGGATCAGGTTCACAAATCACTTCTTAATAACATTTCAGAAAAAAATGCCTAATGTAAAAGTGGTCACATTCCAGCCATCTGCTACATATTTATATCTGAGTGTCTGAATAAATATGATTATACATTATTTAATTTCAGTTATCATATAGCATTACTGACCTCTAAAATTGCTTTTAAGATTAGAGACCATTTCTTCTTACACATACCTTAGTATTTTCTAATGTATTTATTAAAAATAGACAATGTGCTTTTACACCACAATTTTTAGGAAAACAATGTTCTATTCAAAATTAACACGGACTTTAAAAAATTTACCTTTAGTTCTTGAAGCTTATCCACATAAATTTGTTTGGGTTGGTCCTCTCCTTCTTCATAAAGCCAATTTTCTGTATCTTCCAATATTGTAGACAGTTTATTCAAGTCCTAGTTGTACATTGAAGAGACACTGACTGAAAATGCTCTCCTTAGAAGTTATCAAAGAAGGACAGACTATTTCTCAAGTATAAAAGATTAAATTTCAGATTTCTCTGGCTTTTTATTCATTAACATGTTTTTCACCATACTTCTGCAATTAGGAGACATAACTAAGAATCATTCCTAAATGTGGCTCAAGGGGATTGACAACAGTAACACATTTGGTATGTTTGTTTACATAATTCGTATTAACACTGTCAAACAAATAGTTCTAATAAAAAATTATGTAATTTAGACTTACTTCTTGAGTGATGAATTTTTCATAGACTGTGCCCAGCTTGTCTCTAAAATCATATACATATTCTTCAACAGCATTCTTAGCATCATTTCTTTCTTTCTCTAATTTATCTTGCATTATCATCTTCCCCTATTCAAAATGTTCAGATTAGCTATTAAGAATATGCACAAGAGTCATCAGGGAAATGCATATCAAAACCACAATAAGAGGGGGCGCCTGGGTGGCGCAGTCGGTTAAGCGTCCGACTTCAGCCAGGTCACGATCTCGCGGTCCGTGAGTTCGAGCCCCGCGTCAGGCTCTGGGCTGATGGCTCAGAGCCTGGAGCCTGCTTCTGA